AAAAACTTAACAGGGTAGATAATTCAACCAGGACTTATGTCAACCTAACTGGCCCAAGGCAAAACTAACTGGCTAGGGCCAACAGACCAGTGGCAAAACTAACTGGCTAGGGCCAACAGACCAGTGGCAAAACTAACTGGCTAGGGCCAACAGAACAGAGGCAAAACTAACTGGCTAGGGCCAATAGACCAGTGGCAGAACTAACTGGCTAGGGCCAACAAACCAGTGACCAAATCTACTCGCCTAGGGCCAACAGACCAGTGGCTAAATCTACTCGCCCAGGGCCAACAGACCAGTGACTAAACCTCCTCTCCAGGGCCAACAAGCCAGTAGTTAAATCTACCCCTTCAGAGCTAACAGACCAGTGACTAAACTTCCTCTCCAGGGCCAACAGACCAGTGACTAAACTTCCTCTCCAGGGCCAACAGGCCAGTAGCTTAATCTGCCCCTCCATGGACAACAGGCCAGTGACTAAACTTCCTCTCCAGGGCCAACAGGCCAGTAGCTAAATTTACCCCTCCATGGACAACAGACCAGTGACTAAACTTCTTCTCCAGGGCCAACAGGCCAGTAGCTAAATTTACCCCTCCATGAACAACAGGCCAGTGGCTAAATCTACTCCCCAAGGGCCAACGGGCCAGTGACTAAACTTCCTTCCCAGGGCCAACAGGCCAGTGGATACCAGTGGCTAAATCTACTCGCCAAGGGCCAACGGGCCAGTGGCTAAATCTATCTATGAAGTGTTTTATATGTGCTAGTGCAAATTTCATACTGGCAAAATAAACACTTTTACTTCTTAGAAGGAAAACTGGAATTCCAGTGAGATTGTTTCCCCATAAACATTACTGGTTAATCATACTGGTGTGTATTTGAATGATAGAATAGTGCTGAATTAACCAATACAAAAGAAAACACACATTTAATTCTAAAAACAAAAATCTAAACAAAACATACAAAATATATTATTACAGTTATGTGATAAACATGATATGGAATATAGAAACACAGCACATTAACATTATTATCATAGCTTATCTGATAAACTTTTGTTTATAAGATTCATACCTCAGGAATTACTGAATTCCCAATATACAGTATCATGATATGTTTTTATTTATATGCATCTGATTTGAGTAATAATAAAGCCGACACCGAGTCAATTTGCTCTCTAATTTTACCGAAACTTTTTTTTTTCAAAATTATGTGATTGAATTTGTGGCCAACGATATTTTGTAGTTTGATATTTGTAACGATATTTATTTCTTTTGTTTCTGTTTTACCCATCATTTTGATTTTAGTGTGTAAATTACCTGTAATTTTCTACCATTTCAGTAGATTGTTGATGGGATGTTACGTCAATATAGTTTCGAGGTTGGTTTCCTTGCTGAGGTTAGAACTCCTTGCCAAGTAATATGATGCTTGTGAATTCTGCGTTTCTTCCAAACTAATTATGAAATTAAAATCTCCATACTTTGGCACAAGTAGTAAAGTTAAGCCCTGCATCATGTATTTGTGATTTTAAAGTATAGAATTTAATTATATCGTCTGAATTCTGAAAACCTTTTTCTAAACCTATTTAAAATATTCTTCTTCATTGATCTGCCATCTCACCAGTTCTGAAAATTCTCCAGTCCTGTGTGTTTGATCACGAAGTGATTTGATCATTTTTCTGAATCCTCCGCTAATTACTGGTATATTTTATTTATGACATTCAAATTTAATTTAAACATGTATTCTGGATCAAAGGGGCGGTAAAGGACATCAAAATTTGATGTATTATAGCATAAACATGGTTAAAAATTTAATGATAAAACAAATATATATTTAGCAAACTCAGTTATGTGGTGAAGTGGTCAAACACTTTCACCTTTGTTACTGGGGCTCAATTCCCCAATCAGATTGTAAAAGAGCATTTGCGACCAGGAAAGTTTTCTTGGGGTACCCTGGTTCCTTCCCACAGAAGGATCCTTTAGCAACTTCCTTATTGGCTTACAAGAATAATTCATATAAAGTTGATATGAATTGTTGCATAATTGTTGTTTTCTTTTGGAAGTCGCCTACACAGGAAACCTGGGCTAGAGAGGAGTCAACAGTTAGTTGAAGATTGTATTTAATTAAGACATTCAAACTTCGTTTGTACATTACCGTAATTATTAAGATGAAAATGATATCGGCAGAGACAGGAAGTTAAACTCTTTATTTGATACAGTGAGGGATACATTGGAGATGATGTACGCACTTTCAAATATATTCCTTTCCAAAAACATTTTGAAGTACTTACAAACATATCCTATTACAGTACTGTAATTTACAGTTATAACTTTTATGGGGTTTTAAGGTTTTTTGGCAAACTTTGAAACATTTGAACATTCGACTTGGTGGTAGTAATACGATGGTTGTTATTGCAGACAGTACAGAAGATGGACTGTTAACATATATCGCGTCACTCCTTCGAGAATTATAACGACTTTGTATATTCCTAATTCAGAATCGGATCAAACTGAGATCTGTCCACCGGTGGCGAAAAAACATCACTCAAAGGAGTGTAAAATTAAAGTCTTACCCAAGAACCATAATTTGCAAGATAACATTTCATCTTTTCACGACTCAATTTGTTGCAAGATTTAGTTTTTAAACCTTCGTAAATATTGGCATTTTATTTTGCTATGTTAAACGTTGGGCTGACTCTGACTAGGGTAATCATGTGGGATATCACTTCAGCGGGAAAAAAAGATTACCGTACACATAGGAACGTGACGGGGATAAAACATGGATTACTTCTTATCGAAATCATTCCTACGGGTTTATAGGAGGATTTGTAATCTCTTTTGCCGAAGAGTTCAGATGTAAAAGGGATTAAGTTGGTAGAAATGTGTAACAATCCAATGCTTTGTATGTTTTTTTCATGTGGAAAAGTGCACATTGTCGTGGAAATGGTTTTGCGTAATCGTTGTTTACATAGGACTAGGGTTACATAGGAGATTTTGTGTCGAATTGTGTATTAATGACAAACCTTAAACACAGAATTGAGATTTTATTGTCATCCTCTGTTAGAAAATAAAACTGTATGGTTTTTACATGGAGCTATTAATGAATTAATCATAGATTTAGTATAGGGAGGTTTAAGTAAGAAATTGATATATATTGCTAGGACCTCCTGCCTGTGGTTCACTAAGGTAGTTACCGGCTTTTACAAGGAATCTTCCTCTTCTTTATCAGCTTAGCTGTTCTGTGATAAATCCTGCAAACATTCAAAAATATTAATCAGTCCAAAAATTTTTATAATCTTATTTTTATCCTCAGTTTCAAATCCCATAATTTCTGAGAAATTTTTTTTTACATTATTTCAAATTAATAAGAGATTTATGTTCAATGCGCAGTATTTGACTGTTCATCAAGACACAGAACTATACATCTTATGATTTTGTTTTTATTTATCTATTTATTTTTTCCATCATGATTCATTTATGTATTACAGAATAAGCAAAAAGGTCAAAAGCTTTCGGTCGAACAAGGCTATGATTCTTAACATCATCATCCAAATTTTATGTTTAACTTAAATAAATTATTTCATTTCTGATGTTCAGAAGTGGTTCAGACGTCCTAAACGATATAAATTTTAATTAACCTAATCAGTGCCAAACGGAAATATTCGACCCAGACTCACTTTAACAGATGCATTAAGAATTATGCACCGAGAAAAATACGATAATTGGAGAAGTAGGAATCAAAACTGATTCCGTAATATAAGTTTAAAGATGAAGAAACTAAGCACCTAGAATTAGAAATTATTCGCTAAAATTATGTGAAAAGGCATGAGAAACTTGAAGTGACATATGGAAAATATAGACTTATAGTATAGATCCACTTGAGTAATTATAGCCGAGATGTTTGGTATTGTGAGTTTTGGTATTCAGAGGGGTAGTGAAGTCTTGATTGGAGTTAAATTGTCACTTAAATGAAGCGGTTTGTACCCCATATTGCTGCGGTATCTCACACATTGATCTGTTAATGAAAAAAATCTATTGGAGGGTTTGGTAACAGATGGAGAGGAAAGTCGAAATGATGTCTGTGTGTGGTTTTGTTGAAAATCAGGGAAAACAAGATAAAATTTATTTCTTTGAATTTATATTTGAGTTTAAACTTATTTAGAAGCAGTTTATTAGCAGTGGTCTTGTTAGTCAGGAATTCTCGGTTGATTAAAATAATATTTAAATTTGTTTATTATGAATATTCATTAATTTTATGAAATAGGTCAAAAACAATCAACTTATGATAACATTAGAAAGAAAAGTTTAATTCTTGATCATGTAACATGAAAGATGTCATTGCTTTCAATTTTTGATACTGTCAATTTTTTGCAGAGTAAAACGAAAGTACAAATTTTCATGAATCAGTAACTAAATGTAAAATAAACTGATTTATCAATTCTTGTAAATTGATTATCATATATGATTGTGAACTTGTCACAATTACTGCACATAATTCAGTGAACTTGTCACAATTACTGCACATAATTCAGTGAACTTGTCACAATTAGCATTTTGTTCAGGGAACTCGTCACGAGAGTGAACTTGTCACAAGTTGAGTAATATATTCTGAATGATATTTAGTTGGTGTCATTCATAAACATGTTATTTAATAATATTCCTTCCACCACTGGCAAGTCTCTCCTTGCTTATTTTGTCTTTTCAAATATTAATAGAGGTGTTTTATGTAATAATGTAAATAAACATGTATTTTCCACATACATGTTAACAGATATTAAGAGAAATGTAAATTTTGGTATTTCCAAGGTCAAAACTTACCTGACATTTATCCTGGTAGAGAAATTTGAAATCTTGCTTTAGCATATAAAACACATTAAGCATTTAAAGAAAAAAAAATCCTGCATTGTTCAGATTCAACTTAACCAAAGATTTCAAGAAATTGGAATCATTTTATATATTTTAAGTACTTAATGATATTTACAGAAATCCAATTTATTTTTATGTTGACAGGTACAAAGTCATTACCCGTGCATTGTATCATTGAGCAGACAACAGGTATGGTGAACTTTGATACCCCAGAGTGTGGCTCCAACATTTCCGTGGAGCTCGATTCATATGCAATTCTTCCAAGTACCACACTTTTTGGTGAAGTTGTGCGGACCGCGCTCATCAAACTCGGATACAATGCCACGGAGGCTATAAGTGCCAAAGGTAACATCACCTTTAGTCCAACTCTGTTAAACACTTACATTTTACTGTATAATGCCTGAATTTTATGGAAATATCTCACAAATGTGGTTATATATCACAGGTTAAATTTCATAAGTTTGGTGCCAGGAATAATTTTAATGGACTTGTGCACCTATTTTAAAATCTGAAGGGATTGGTCTCGAATTCAAATGTGTTAAATTTCATCTTATAATTTAAGATTTGATTACTGCGGGAATACAAGGGAAAAATAATTTTTCTATATGTATATATAAAAAAGATGTTATTTGTAGACATTGTCTCATGTCTCATTAAGGGTGAATGTTTCTCAGAAGTCGTTTAAGTTCAAATCATCAGAAGTTTGCTCGAAATACAACATACAAAATTCAGAAACCATTGAAAAAATCTTATCATACTAATATATATTTTGTAAAACCTTTCATGCAGTTATAGCAGAAAAGTTAGAAATCCCATATGCAATATGGCTGATTTTGTTATACTGAAAGTAATATGAGATCATCATTTTGTTACAAAATAATACAAGTGAAGTGAAATGAGACTTGTTTCCTGCTGTCGATGCTCATGGCAATAGCAGTTCATTGAAACTTTTAATCAGCAGTGATATGTTATGATTCATATGTATGGCATTTATCAAACTATGAATGCAAAGTAATAAACTATATCAGATGTTTAAATCTTTGTGTATTACAAAATATATAGAATCTATACATTACTTATTTAGTAATAACTTATCAGCTTTTTTGGAACATCATTTAAAACAGATAGCATAAGAAGACAGATTATAAAAAACTAGTTTATTTTCAATGTTGTTTTCTTTGAATGAAATTGAAAGTAAACCGATTCTTATGCATAGAGTCAAACATTAAACGAATAGATTTCATACGCGAAGTGGAATTCAATCAGCTAAAATCACTGCTAGGAGTATCAGACATGGTATAAGTGGTCTGGGTTTAGTTACACGATGGGAGAAAGCTGCAGACTTTAACATTGATGAGAAATATTGGTAAATCACCTTTAAATTGAGTAGAAGAAACTGGAACATTTAATATTTATGAAAAAAAAATATTGGTAAGTCAATGGCTCGATCATTTTCATTATACCTGACATTTGTGCATCACAAGGAACCCTTGTTTTTAAATATTCATCATCAATTCAGCTAAATGACTCTTTTGATCGGGATATTTAGTTTACCTAAAAAATATTAAGATATTAAAACATTGATGAGAAATTTTGTAATCGCTGTTTTCATCAAGCTCATAGATTTTGCCTGAATCTTAACGGGATTGATGAGAGTATCAGTAAATCGTAATTTCCATCAACGTTATTTACATTCAAACAGGTGCAGTACAAATCAAGAACTGGCGACCTTTGACCTTTGAAGTTATCACTGATGACGATAAGGCTACTCTCGAGGATATCTGGGGAGAACTTACACAGGTGGCGACACTACGGATACGTTTAAGCAGGTATGAATCGCAAGCTCAAAGGTTAAGGTTAAATTGTGTTGTTTCAGACACTAAACTGAAAAAAAAAGAGGCTTTTTATTTCAAACTCATCAAAAGGATAACTTTGAAAAATGTTTGTAATTTTTCAAAGTATTCCGCACTCTGAATCAATAAATTCTTTCTAAGTTAATCGATTGACATTTTTAAGTCTGACTTTTGTTTCTTGCCTCTCTGTAAGAAACGTAGATCAACACATTGACCCTGCTTCCTTAAATAGTACAATTTTATAATCTCTCAGTCCTGGTATTATCTTTCATTTTGTGTCATCAACAAACGGGATATAGTAATATACAAACAAGATGTGTTTCTACATAAATCATCCCAAGGGGAGACAACCTTCAGTGACTCGGTCACATTGATGATATAAAAATGTTTCTATCGATACTTTGAAATTATAATCACAAAGAAAGTAGAATATTTCTACCATTTTGACTTTGATTGAAATTTTTTTTTTTTTTTTTTTTGATAGTAAATGAATGTCAACCATTTTAAAATAAAGTGTGTTTTCTCGATGTTGTGTTGATATTTTCTGTAACAAGTAGTAGTGTCTAGTGCCGTTTTTTAAAACGATATCCGCAAATTTTGGTTTGCACTTTCCAGCCAATCAAAGTTGAGCTCTACTGATGAAGTGAAGAGTAAATTACTACAACTTCTCCTCACCCAATCACATGGGCTCCTTCTCACATCTGGGTGTCCAATAGAAAAGGTGAGTTATTCCCCTTTTGATGAAGTTTTCAGTTTATCACACTGATGTTTTCCAAATTTTTTTTTTTATTATCAATCTCCTGTTCCTTTACTTTAAAGACAATGTTGCATTTTAAATGTCCCTTTGTATGAATAATACTTATTTAAGGAAATATGTGATAAAGAAAATCATTAAGGTAACAAGAAAGGAAAGCATTTTTTTGTAAGATTACTTATTTTTGAGGCTTCAAGGTTGTATGTATATTTGTTTGATCTTTTACCTTTATTTGATCATCACTTGGTATCGTTGTGTTACACATTTTTGTCTTTTCAGTCTCTTCTCTCCTCCATTACGAAGGGCGACACCCTCTCAAGTCTTCCTCATGATGTACGCTGTGCATTTGATAAATGGTATGATGAACAAGTAGAGAAAGCCAAAAAGTCTCAGGAACACAATGGGGCACCTGAAGATCTACGCACTCCTGAAAAGACTATCAACGGTACTATCAATGGCACGATAGGGTCACATGAGAATCACTTCAGTAACAGTCCAGCCAATCACAGTCCTCCACTCACCTCACTTTCGGGTCTCAATCACGGCAAGACAAGAATGCGCACGTCTTTCGATCCTGAGCATGAAATTCCTCGACTTCAGAAATGGTTTGCTGAGTGCCAGCATCCTACAAGAGAGCAAATGATTCGCTTTCTCGAAGAGTTGAATAATCTTGAATCTCGCAAAGGAAGGCGACCATTAGATCTTACGAATATAATCTACTGGTTCAAAAATGCTCGAGCAGCTCATCGTCGAGCTTCTAGAAACTTTGATGATAACTCTTTTGAAATGGAGGAGGGATTAGAGAGTAGTCCAGTTGGAGTTGATCGTAATGTTCCCTATTTGCCCAATAAAAATGCTGTTTATATTGTCCCTTATCCTTACCATGGTCCCTTCATGTCACATGACTCATCACATGATCAGTCCAAAGAGCCATGTGACCTATCCCAATCACGACGGCCAGTCTCTAGCCCTGATATAAAGAAGGAGAAGGATTTGTGTGACAGTAAGTCAGATAGTGCCGATGAGGAGATGGAAGTCATAGACACTATGGAAACCCATCAGGAAAAATCTCCTGTCAGTATAAAGGAGGAGAAACAAGATTTGGCAGATGTTGAATGTGTGACAGATCTCATAAAAGGGGTCAAGGACGATGTTGATCGAATAAGCACGGGTGAGCGTGAGGCACCGCAATCGAATGGTATGCACATGTCTGACTCGGAAGACGATGATGATATGGAGTCGGATTATGAGGAACAATCAAACGAGGATTCAGAATCTAGTCATAAACTTTCATCTTTATCCTACAAAAAGGATTTTTCAGAGGCAGACTACCTCAGTAACCATATATCTAGGATGCCAACGACACCAACCAGTGGTCTACATCAGCCACTACACATCCCTCATTTCCCGCACCCTCTGGCCATGCACTATTTTCCGATGAATACTCATTTCATGGCGCAGCAGTCAGCTGCCGCTCGACTCCATCAACATCAGCAACAACAAACACCGCAGCATCCTCATCACAAAACAAGCCCTGGAAGCGCACACCGTAAACGACGTACACGCGTCTTCATTGATCCGATGACGGAGATCCCCAAACTCGAGAAATGGTTCACAGAGGATACTCATCCTTCTTCTTATATGATTGATAAATACTGTGAGGATCTCAATCGGTCAGAATATCGGCAAAAGTTTCCAAAACTCGAGCCAAAAAATGTACAGTTGTGGTTTAAAAACCACCGAGCTAAAGTCAAACGCATGAGAGTTTCCTCTCATTTAGAATGAGTCCTGTTATTGATCTTGTTGTTGAATGTATTGACCTCTGACCCTTGTTTTGATTGGCCAGACAAATCCAGCTTGCTCGGTTGTTTTCTGTTGGCTTGTATACTGTGCTGACCATAGTTTCCACAACCCTATTTACATTAGTGCTCTGTGATTTCAAATTTTTTTCATCTGCATTTGGTTAGATTTTCTCTTTAGCACGAAGAAAAATAAAAAAAAGAATATCAGACTGAAATATTTGGTTTTAGATAAAGATTTATTACCATTTCCTTCATTTTTACATTACACATTGAAAGTTGAAATAATTTTTTTTTTTTACTATAAAGTACAATTCATGATTGTATATTTGGCAAAGAGGACTAATGTAATAAGGTTTGTGAGAAACTGAGGGTTGTCATGTATATATTGAATTTAATGTTGTTTTGTCTCATGATTTGACCAAAGGGGGAGAGTTCTCTCCCTTTTTAATTGTCTTTATGTTTATTTGTCTGTTACCTTAACAAATACAACATTTGGAAAGTGTTCGTACTGTGATAATATTTTTGTATTTATATTTTCTGAATCCGAAATGGCAATATGATGCAAGATAGCACTATGATAGATAGCCGTTCTCACTCAGATCAGCATTATCAGTTCTGGAAAGGTACTAAGGTAGCTTCTCATCAGTTTAAAACTACACAATACTTACAGGTGACCGAGATGTTTCTTAAATGTAGGCTTTACTTAATACATACATTAACCAAGCAGTAACATCAGTATTCTTTAAAACTGAATGCTTAATGAAACTCTATATCTTCAGCTCTTTACAGTTCTGTGAGATATTGCATTTGAATCTTTCAATACAATGTAGGTTTTAATTCTGTATCATTTGGCTGAATTTTCAAAATGAAAAAGAAATTGAGATCAGATTAGAAGTTTAAGTTCTTAAAGATGTGTCAAATATGGCATCATCACATCTCATTAAAGAAAATAACACTCTAACCTCATGACGTCCAACATTTAAAGTTCAAAATACTCAGTAACCAAGCATTAGAATATTCCATGATAATAACCAGTATATGTCTGATTACCTCCCCTTAAAAAAACTAACATCATGCCATACAATAACTGAAGATAAAAATATATGGTAGCATCCAAGGTCTATTCTCAGTAACACAGCATCTGAATGCTCTCTAATCATTATGACGATTATCTCCCCTTAATGTACTTTTGTTAAATTCCAGTTCAGTTATCAAGATAGAGATTTTTGCATAGCATTGACAGTATCTTTGTCTTAGAACACAAGCCCATGTTCTATTTTCTTTCTGCATTGAGCTAGTTTTTAAAATTTTAGAAGAGAATTAAATTTGTTAAGTTGAAAAAGGGGAGGTTATCAGGTAGATTCTTGTATATAGACTGTTTCCATGGAAACTATATTAGATATGTAACCAAACAGCATTCCCTATACCTTATTAAATAGAAATATTCTATATATATATACATGATTTTTTTTTTCATTTTATTTTATTTTAATGGTTCTTATCATTTCAGTGTTACAGGTTTTTATTACCTATCATGACAAATATAGATCTAGACCTTCATTTTCTATTGCTAGCAGGATTTGTCTGGTTTTAAATAAGAGAAAAGTTGAATTTTTTTCCTTTGTACAATATTAGTCATACAAATATTGACACACCTTGATTTAGACATACAGACTTAAGTATAACTGTCTTACATTTTAATGGAAAGTTCATTAGTATGTGTGGACATTGTTCTGTTATTTAAGATATGATGAAGTAACATTTCTTAATGTTGAATCATTTCAAATCAGGGACAAGACATTGTATGACTATATTGTACATTGGGGAGAATTCCTTATTTATGATTACTGGTTGTGTGTCATTTAAAGCTGAAAAGCAATACCAACAAACATAGATATATTTGACCGGGTGGTACCTTTGGGTTGTTTCTATATATAGATGACCTCTAACCTTTTAATATGCATTAATCATTTTAAATCTCAGGTGTAAAATGAAAGACATCTTAATGAAATATTTGAAATGTTTTTGATGTAGCCAGTACTCACACTTGTAGCTGATGTAGATAGCAATGGCCGATCAAATCTTATGATAATAAGACAGTCGTTACGTTTATAGTGACCAGAGTGACCTGGTCATTACCAAAATCTATACCTCACTCACATCATTCTAGAATAAAGACATAGTTGATGCTGGTTTTTAACGCTCTATGCTGACTACTTTTTTTTCAGTAGACCAGTAATTTTATTTCCCAGCTCCCCCCAAAAAAGGGATTTTTTTTCTTCATTAAAACTTAAGAAGGCATTTCAGACCAATGCACGTTGTGATCATGGTTTTGATTTGAACTTGTTCTGTCATAAAATAAATTCTGCCATACATCTTGTTTATAGATTTGTATTCAGTAAAATTTCCGTGTGTTTTAGTGGACATGATATGTACGAATCATCCCAAGGTACTGATTACTAATGAACTACAATTTTACCTCATACGCACTGCGTTTTTTTAGTTCCCACATGTTGTCACCAACACTGCCATCTAGAAGTCTTATACAGAAATAGGATGTATTCTGTTGATTTTTTTTTTTTTTTTTTTTCCTTTGGTCAAAAATAAAATATACGCAAAATTGTATTTAGAAATTCATGTGAAATTTGGTTTGTTTTGAGTAATGATGTTTTTGAGGGTGTTTTTTAATGTCCTCCTAACACACAGAACATAGTTAGAAGGATTCATGTATGTTATTAGTACTGTGTGGATTCTGATATTTACTTAATTAATTTAATAATTAGACACCATTCATCTCCTAAAGCAGAAAATGTCATGAATTAATGTTGTTTTCCATGAAGTTGGAAAACTTGATGAAAAATTCTGTTTTTTATAGTAATTTTGTATGTTCAGCCAATTACTTCAGTAATCAGATTCAGGTTTGATAAATTGTCAAATTTCAAAAAAATTCCAAGACCTTTGCAATGTTGATAACTTCTATCTTTATTGTACACTGAATGGCACATACAACAAGTGCACTGAAACATTAGGTTTACTCAGAAACAAAATAATACAGAATTTATACTGATTTCAGTAGCCTATGTTCATAGAGAAATAAAATTCTTAATTGGAATGAATATTGTGTATCAAGTATGTCTACTTTCTCTGCTATATAAGATTCCATCTCGTGATTAGCAAAAGACACGTCTCGGAGGTCATTTCCATAAAATGACATTGTACCAGCAATAAAACACCTACAGTGATATCCGCCTTTCATATTTGTTTATGTTTAATTAAGACAAGGGCTATTGTTAGAATCAACTTTGTATTTGTTTTAAATCTGTTGATAACACTGTCAAGTGTATACATTGTTTTGTTGAAGTATAAAATGTGTTTTTAAGCATGGCTAAATAAAATTAGCTATATCTATCACAGTATAGTGCTTAAGACTTTAGTCTGACAAAGACTGTATTTTAACTGTGTACTGACTATGCAATATCACTGCTGTTTGATTTGGTTGTTCGACTGTTTCCTCTGTTAAAGCTGTATGATATATGTGTGTGATCATGTTGAATGTCTCATCAGTATGTGTAACGTGAATGACAATGACTTTTTCTGCATCTCTTTTTTTCGTTTTTTGACTATTTCGTGATTTTTTTTTATTATTTTTCGTTGTTGTATCATTTTGTGTTATCTAATTTTGACAAACAAAGGCAAACTCTTTGGTGCCATTTGTATAATACAATTCTAAACATTCTAGAACTTACTGAAGATGTCTGCCATTGGTTAATTCAGAACTGATTACGCAATTTTGTTGGTTGATTTCAATTTCTCCACTGATTAATTTTTATAATGATAACTTAATATGTTAAATGCAATATTTCTGAAGTCCTCAGAATTCTGATATTGCTAGTCTGGGTGTTTGCCATGAGAATTCATATACAAAATTTGTATGTTGCTATAGATTCTTCAGTTTACTTAAAATTTTCATTTTGGTGCTAGGTTTTTATTGTCTGTCTTAATTGTTTTATTTTTCGTTTTAATTTGAAAATGATATTAGTGAAATTATATTGTATTAAACACGTTAAAATTTTGATAATATCCTTTTAACTTACTACACAAATGACACTCATCAAATGAAATTTGAAAGTTAATTGATTCTTATGACATTTAAATATAAACGTTTAATCAGGGCGTTAGCAATAAGACCATATTTGGTATTACGGATGCTAATGACCAAGTATGGTCATAATGATGATAATCAAATATTGTTTTTTAGACCATATTTGGTAATCATGATTATAACCATATTTGGTCATTGGGATCAGTAATAAGACCATATTAGGTAATCAGCAGTATGACCGTATTTGGTCATTAGTATCACTAATATCCCACATAAGGTAAGTAGCAGTATGACCTTATTGGTCACCAGCTTCAATATATTGACAATATTTTTAATCAGCAAAATCATCCATCTATGTTTTTACTTCAGTTTTTTTTCACCTAACTAATTAAGCATCTCAGATGAGGGAAATTAAGTTATGATCCAAAGAAGATCTGAATTGTAAAACTTGGGTATTTAGATATTCCTAGATTAATACATATGTTGTGCTGTGTCCCCCTTGACTAAGTGACACAATTTGTGTCTTTCTTTTTGTGAAAATATTCCTATATTTATGATAAAGTTTTTGATTATAAAACACATGCAATATGTAACTTTGACAAAAGATGATACCAATCATCTGCCGCGGGCTTCAGCATTTCATTATATGTATATATTGACAATATAAACAGCTAACGCAGTTGACCCCCTCCAATATTTTTGGAATATAGTTATGCGATTATTCCCCATTTTTGTCGAAATTTTTATGCTGGATATATAGAGTTATCTCCCCATTCACATGACAAGATAATTAATTGCATGAAGTAAATATTATATTGACAGAATTTCCGAGTGTACTAAAATGTTTTCTTTATTGTAGGATTAAGAAGAAAATACTAAAA